TGCACGACGGCGACGACGGCGACGACGGCGACGACGGCGACGACAGACGCAGATGATGGCTATATGTACAGACACATCTGTGTCTGTACATAAAAATCTATGAAAGGAGAAATTTTCAAAATATAAACTGATTTGTAAAATAAAAAGGAAATCCCTGAGACAACTTTATGTGTGTAATCAATTACATTATTTTGTAAATCCTTTTTAAATATAATATTCCTGCACTTGTAGAACAGCCAGTTAAACTTACTTGACAAGTCTGACGGAGTTTCATGTGCATAGTGTGAAATTATTGTTATAAGTTAGAGCAGCAGCTTATTTCTTCAAAAATTCTGCCTTTAAAATTAAATGTAAGTCAGTATATTACTTATATAAAATATTTGGTGTAGAAGAAACATTCTACAAGTCAATCTGCAAGTACTTTAAATGCAAAAATTGAACTTATAATTATCATTAAAAAAGAATTCTTCAAAAAAATACAATATTACATAATAAACAAATAAAATATATTCAATATAATGTTAATGCAATATAATATTGAAAGAACTTTACAAGGCTTAGAATAAAAAGCTGACTTATTTTCCATAATCCATCTTCAAGTCACGTCCATTCTTACCCTCACAAACTTTTCCAAGTCTAAAGAGTAACAGCTGCCGTTTCTCCTCAGCTTCCCCCTTTACAGCAATTACTCCAAGATGGCGTTCATTTCTGGAAAAAGACATCTTTTTCACAGAGAGTCCTGAAAGTGGTAGACCAAAAATGGCATCGCCAGAATTCCAGGCTTCATCGGTGGCGAATGTCTGCCACAGCCGCAGAGAATGGTCAGTTTCACACCAGGAGGCTATCCAATGACCTTTGCTGGAGACAGCTAACTGACTGACCTGTAATAATAATAATAATAATAATAATAATAATAATAATAATAATAATAATAATAATAATAATACCATACCTAGAGTACTGAAATTTTGTTTCAACTTCTTAATACAATTTAATTTATTATTTTAATGTTATCTGTATACAAGTTTTATCTGTTAATGCCAGTCTAGACTTCAAGCATGTTGCTTTCCCCTCTCACGGAGCTATCCAAATCACTGGAATGTACAATTTTAATCTTGAATCTTCTTAAAAGATCTTTTTCTCATGTCACAGTGGTGGAAAAAAGGCCTACCTCTCTAGCATGTCTTGTTGAAGGAGAAGTTTTGCGATTGTTGATAGATCTACCTAGAGGGCCATCAAATGCGATGACGTATCCATCATCTGACCCACTGACTACCACACTGCCATCTAGTGAGGACTCCAGTGCTGTGGTTCTACCTCCGCCTGTTGTCTGTTCTGGGTCATCTGTGACAGCAGTTCCTCTAAAATTAATTTTACACAGTTTAAATTTCTTTTCTATATTCATATTTTGTAGCGTATTTACCATGTCATTGATTGACATCCAAAATTTCTTTTTACATCTTTTTACAATCATCTATAAAGTGTATCCTTTATTTAAATTTATGCTAGTAAATTGCACCTTTCAGACAATCACAAAGTACCAAACTTAAATATATTTTATGTTTATGTTTAATCATTTCAGGTTTACTTAAACACCTTTCAAATAGGATGCACTATAAAACAATTTTTGTCTAAGACTTTAAACATCTTAGAGTTAAAAATCATTCAAAAATTAAAATTAATAAATTAAAGAATATTTTAACCTGTAAAACATCCCGTTTTCTTTCTTTCCAGTGACGGTTTCAATGTCACATTTATCTTTCTCAATTTTTCTCCACACCACGACCTGACGCTGGATACCAATACCAAATCTCTCCCCATGTCCCTGCTCTGTCTTTGCTGAAATAACAAGTACGTAAATATCATAATAGAAAAAAAGCCATTATATGGCAATTATTTGCCTTTGCTGCATTAACAACTACACAGTTCTCAGTTTATTACAGTGACAAACTATTCAACCAGAAAAATCACCTGTACATGTTTTTAAGTCACTTTATAATTTAAAAATTGAAGACCTTTTAACGTGTTTAAGTATTGTGAAATAACATGTACTCTCAAACATGGACAAACTAACAAACACATTCAAATACACACGTGTGTGCAAACACACACACACACACACACACACACACACACACACACACACACACATGCACACACACACATATGCACTCACAGTCACACACAATGCACACACACACATGTACACACACACACACACACACACACACACACACACACACATATGCACTCACACACATGCACACACACACACATATGCACTCACACACACACACACACGCGCGCGCGCACACATACAAACCTGGTAAAGCAGCAAAACAATTCCCTCTCATTGGCAGAGGTGTCAGGATCCTGTTGCACTCAATGACTTTGCCGGTAACCGTCCTCAAGTCCACAGCCCAAAACTTATAATTTGCGTCTCTCTGTTTATTATAGCTGCCTTCTTTCTTACGCAAGGCAAAAAGCTCATCTGGTGTGATGTGTATCTGTCAAGACAATTTGGATTTTCATCTTTATAATCAATTTTAATTAAAATTGATTAATTAAAAATAATTCAAACTATCATTCCAAATATATGTAAATGAATTGATATGAATCCTCAGCACAGTAATCATAATGGGAATAACAATATGAGTTTGAAGCAAAATTGCAACATATAGCTTCCTCTTTTTTGTGGTAACAAGAAATTATTAAAAATACTGTCACCTGGTTTCTGCTTTTGTGATGAGGACAGACATTACTTGCTGATTATGTTTTCCTAAAACGTACATGTTGAGAAGGTTTTGACCTCCCTTTCCTATTCGAACTGTTGGAATGAACTACCCTTTTGGGAAAACAATTTGATCCAAAACTTTAAACTGGGTCCTATGGCTTTTAACAAGTTGGATAAAATGGTTCAGTTTTTCAGTAAAAAAAAAAATCCCCCTCTTTTGAACTGCTGGCTGAAGGCCTGACTCATCTCTTACAACTGAACTATCTGGGAAGTCTTACCTGGAAGCCGATATAATTGTCTGTCAAGGTCAGTTTGGCCTGGTGGTACTGGACAGGTTGCTGCAGGGGAATGACAGTCAGCACAGAGGCTTGGTGGATGTCATATACCTGAATGATAATAAAGTGAATGCTGCTGTAAAGTGTGGTTAAACATTTGAAGAGACAAACTTTTTACTGATGAATTCATATGTGTTGTGTAAATGAATGTGTGTGTGTGTGTGTGTGTGTGTGTGTGTGAGAGAGAGAGAGAGAGAGAGAGAGAGAGAGAGAGAGAGAGAGAGAGAGATTGGTAGCTGCTTTCTGACTCCAGAGTCCTTAGTTGAAGACAGTCTAAGTGCCACAGGTACTTGCTATATTGCCAATTGCTGCTTGTTTCCTGTGTTTCAAGACTAGCAGTGTCTTCGGTCACTCTGTTAATACTCACCTCTATCAAAGTGGCTCCCTGTTCCCTGTGACCCAATACAAACACTGCCTTGTTGCTGTCTCTGGTCAGAATGCACTCCATTAGAGGTGCACTGGAGTGGGTCAGAAGATCCACAGGGAACTGGTGAGATAGCTGGCCACTCTCTGCTGAAAAAATGAAAATCTCTAAAAATATTTCTGAATCACAGTTAAATCAAGCCCTTGCATGTCCCCTACATATAAGAGCAGTGTATTTTCATTAATTGAGGATGTCTACAGAAATAACATTACAGGTTCTAGAGTGTATTTTATTTCTTATTTCTCAAAAGAAAGAGTGTAGAAAATTCTGCTTTAAAACCAAGATGTCAGAAATCACCGATTCCAAAATGTGCACAGTAACCTACCACAGTTGTACTAAGTGCTCTTTACTAGCTAGTCTAAGAATCTGCAACTAATTTAGTAAATTGATAAAAGTCAAGGTGTTTGTATTCTGCGAAAATTGGAAAAAAAAACTGACAATCCGCAGATTCTTACCAATATTTCCTGTGTCCTGTAATGTGTATTTTGCTGAGACTGAACTTCCTTCAACACACACCAGCAAACACCTGCTGTCTGGGGACTCTGGGGACTCAGAGAATAGTACCTGAATAAATAATGCCTCATAATTTAAATGCCTGGATAAAGTTTAATCAAAAGTGAAAAAAAAAAAAAAACACTTATTTCAGAACCTTAAAGAAATACAAAAACAAAAAGAAATAAATATAAAAAATAAGAATAAATAAATAAATGAATTATTTATAAAAATTACAAGCTAGGAATGACTAACAATTGTTCTCCAAAATAAAATAATTTTAAATAAATAAAATCATTAAATCAATTACGTCACAGTAAACGTGATATGTTAAACATCAATGGATAGTCTACCTGTACTCTGTTATTTGCTCCCTTCTCCATCATAAATTCTTCACCAGGGTTCAAAGTTACATCAATACTCATATCAATGAGACTGATAAGGACAACTTCAAGCTGAGCTCTCCCTTCCTTCCCCTCCTCCTCCTCTACACAGGACTCAGACTGGCTCTTCTTGTAGATCAGCGCCATCTTGTCACCAGTTGAGCTGAAGTCAATGTCAAGCACTCCTGTGGTAGGGAAAGGAGCACCATGTTCCCCAGATATCTGAGGTAGTGTAGTAGAGCTACTGTCTTCCTCTCCAGTAGAGTACATCAAACATGGGATGAGGGGCTCCAGGACGGGACTGGGACAGTGGGACAGGTACTCTCTGGACTGCTGCTGGAGGGATAGTATTCTGGGATGTTCTGGAATATAACAGAAAGCCATATTTAATACTGATATTTGATATATATATATAAAATATTATTGTTGGCGTTAATGTAGATTTCAATTGAACACATGCATTACCTGACCTGATTTGGATAATTATTATTTCCATTGTAATGCAAGTAGCTATATGAAGTTAACTATCATCATAGAGTTATGACCAGTCATAAAAAACATTAACACCCTTAATACTATAATTGTTATACAATTAATAAAGGCATATACTTATAGACAAAAAATATATATGCCAATGTCTTAAACCAATTAGCATACCTGGAGATGCAGGCAGACAACCTAGTATATATACGGGTAATTTCAACGAGGATCTGCCACCAACGTTATCACAGCTGTCCATGTGTAGCAGACATTTATGTAACTGCAGTATCTCTTCATCTTCGCCGTCCATGTCCAACCCGTCTCTTATGTCATCCAGTACGTCTTGGAGAGAGAAAGCGGCCATCTTGGATACAAGGAAGTCAATGTTGAAGAGGACTTCTGACTTGAGTTTGTCAATGTTTCTGTAACATAGAAATAAGGTAGCAATTCTGGATTTGGGTAGAAATTGATCAATTTATATATAGCATCATCTGCAGTACTTATGACCATTACCCCGTCACAGTAGACAGCTTCATAAATTAAACTGATTTTACTTTCAAAAACATCCTGTACAATTGATATCACATGGTCAATGTTATCATCAATATATCTGACAAAAGTAAGAATTTTTGCTCTAGTTTCATAACAATGTCAATGAAAATAAAATGTGTAATTCTCATAAGACATGGATGTTTGATTAAAATTTAGATAAATAAAACTGAAACTATTTCAATAAATTTTTTCATACCATAAATTTTCCTAATACTGATATAACAATAAGTTTAATAATCTTACTTGGACTTAACCAAATGATATGGCAGGCACATCAGTTTGCGCCTGTTATTCGGTGTCGTCTGCTGCAATGTAATCTGTCTGTCTGCATCTTGGATGACCTTGTTATTTCTCTGCTCCAGAGTGATGGTGCGACGTATACAGTCCTCCGCAGAGAACATGGTTACCAAAGTGCTGTGTAGTTGGGCTGCATTTTCCCCCATGGTGTACCTGTGAATTAATTTACAATTATTTAGACTGTCTATTATTTAAGTACAATTTTTAATATTCTATCCCCTTTCACTAAGCACTTAATTTATATATGTTGCCACTTATACCCAGTATGTTTCAGTCACAAAAACAAAATCATATTCCACTGGCAAAATGTTATTAATGATGACAATTTTTACTTATTAACAGAAACCTGATTAAATTCAATAATTTCTGAAATCTAAAACCCAATACAGTCAACTTTAAATGTGATTGTTGGCCAGGAAAAACTGCAAAATACAGACAAAAATATGAAAACATCGTAGCTATGAAAAGTGATTCACATATAATCAAAAAGTATACCTTTCTGTTGCTGCCTCTATAAACTGTCGATGATACCAATTCAGGGTAATCTTACCATGACCTTGGCGTTGTACCAAATATTCCTTGATATCATGGTACACACGTGCCCAGAGCAATGGCGGAATACGTATGATTCCTTCCACAGGAGGATCATGGTAAACATACACCTTACTCAGAACGTCGTCCGTACATGAGAGAGCGTCCTCGATTTCTATCTCCGTCAAACCATTCAGTCCAACTGTAATGTACCCCAATGCTTTCTGGATAAGAAGCTCCCCATACTTATTCTCCAATCCAATAAAAAGTTGCAAAATGGCGTCTCGCACTGTTGTGGCCAGACTTTCCTTATCAACCTCTGTGTAGGACCGCCATGTTTTGGCCTGATCTAGGAGCAATTTCAGAAACAAAGGGCTCGGACTCTTTTCGAAAACTTCTAAAAACATCGTCTGTTGTTCATCTGTGAGTGCCCTCTTTTGTTTCTTGAAATAGGCCTTCATGATGTCTTGCGCTGTCACGACAGGAAGGGCTCTCAGCTCAAAATATCCTGCAGCTGCCGGCAAATCTGTCTCATTCCCATTCTCGCAATCAATCTGCAACTCCTTTACCAAATTTTTACGACAATCATTCTCATCTGTGGTCAAGGTGGAGATGACCATGCAAATATTACTGGGCAGTTCTTTGGGCACCCATTTCATGCTGTGTCCACCACTGGCTGGAGACAGCTGGTCAACAGAGTCCAGGAGTATTACTATAGGGACGGGAGAGGACCTGGCCACTGTTCTGAGAACCCACTGCAAGTTCTGTGTGACCTGAAACAATGAGGAAAACTTTAATAACTTCAGCATGTTGAATAAATATATATTTGTATGAAAATGACATTTTTTAAAACCTGTTTTTTCTTTAGAAATATAACTTGGCCATGGCTAAGAAGCTGGGCCACAGTGAATACATCCCATATGGCACCTGCATCATATTAAATCTCTATCTAAGTCGCTGCCCAGCAGGCAAACGACATTGA